AATATATCCTGAGGGTGCAAAAAAGCACAGTAGAAATGACATCTGCACCTACATGTTCATTGCAGCATTGTTCACAATAGCCAGAATCTGGAAATAATCCGAGTGCCCGAGAAGAGACAACTGGTTGAAGAAACTATGGTACATCTACACAATGGAATATTATGCAGCTATTAGGAAAGATGAAGTCATGAAAATTGCTTACAAGTGGATGGCCATGGACAGTATCATGCTAAGTGAAATGAGTCAAAAAGAGAGGGACAAGCATAGAATGACTGCACTCATGTGTGGAATATAAAATAACATAACATGAGACTGACACCCAAGGACAGTAGACACAAGGGCCAGGAATATTGCCCCATAGTTGGTAGCCTGCATCACGAGCTGGGGGGAGAAGGCAGCTGGAATAGAGAAGGGATTATTAAGAAAACGATGGTTGGAGGGATAGTTCTGGATGGGAGATGTGTGCTGAAAGCAGATAAAGGAGCAAACGTGATGGCCTCTCAGTATCTCTATTGCAAATCATAATGCCCAAAAGAAGAGAGACAGCATGGGGGAAACTGTCTGCCATAGAGACAGGGGGAGGAGTGGGACGGGGAGAATACTGGGGACATTGGTGGTGGAAAATGTGCACTGGTGGAGGGATGGGTGTTCGATCATTGAAACTCAAACATGAAAGCTTTCTAACTGTATCTCACAGTGATTCAATAAAAAAATAAAATAATAATAATGAAACGCCCCCTTCTATGTAAGTCCATGAGATTAACTCACGTCCTTCCTCCAGGAGCTTGCTGGAGACACTTTTCAGAGCAGTTATGTGGGCGTCTAGGAAACCGGAGATCATTAGACACAGAGATAAGCGCTTCCTTTCTGGGGATCACTGAGCTAGAATAGTGACAGAGCTTGGTGCAGAGGCAGGTTTGGCCTCAGGGGTCTCTCCTGTGCCACAAGGCTCAAGCGTTCTTTAAAGGGCTCTGGGGTAACTATGCTGGCCAGAGGTGGGGTTCTGCCCTCAGAATTTCTGACTAAACTGAGGTTCGTGTCTGAGAGTTTGCATCATCTTCAAGTATGCAGGGCAGGTTCCACTGTTCCTGGTGGCCTGGGAGTCCAACTCCCACAACTACTGCTTTGCACCCCAGGCCAACCCCTCCCCAGGAAGTGAGAAAAGAACTGAACCAGAGAAGCATGCCCAAGTCACGGCCCCATCCCAATGCGACTAGCTGGGCAATCACGAGAACATCTAGATGTTTCCTTTTTAACTTTTTACTTGGAGGCAATTTTTGACATAGAGTAACTGTAAAAATAGGACAGAGAGTTCCCATAAACCAGTGCCCACCTTTCCCCTAAGTTCACATTTTACATAACTGTAGAACAATCCTCACAACTCAAAGTTTGAAGTCGGTATTGTACAACCACCAGACTACAAAGTAGACTGGATTTAATCACGGTTTCTCCACAGATCAACTTTCCTGTTCCAGGAGTTAACCCCCGAGCCCACACTGCATGCATTTTCCATCTGCTTCCATGTGTTCTGGGAATCAAGCATAGCATGCACACGAGCCCTCTGGGGGTCCAGCTTCTCAAACTAAGCTCTCTGTGAGGCTGGAGAGAGTTGCAAGTTGCAAGTTGAGAGTTTGGGCAGCGGGGAGTGCAGAAAGAACTCCGGTTTGATTCCCCAACACCAGACACCGCCCTGGTGAGTTTAGGAACTAGAATGACATACTTAGCACTCTATTTAATGTAAGTATGTAGGTTGGTATGCATGCACATGTGGGTAAATATGTATTTTTGTTTCAAGGGTTACACCTGGCAGTGCTCAGGGATCACTTCTGGCAGTGCTCAGGGATCACTCCTGGCGGTATTCAGGAATCACTCCTGGTAGTGCTCAGGGATCATTCCTGGTGGTGCTCAGGGGTCACTCCTGGCGGTATTCAGGGATCACTTCTGGTGGTGCTCGGGGGTCACTCCTGACAGTGCTCAGGGATCACTCCTGGTGGCGCTTGAGGATCACTCCTGGCAGTGCTCAGGGATCACTCCTGATAGTGCTTAAGGATCACTCCTGGCAGTGCTCATGTACCATTCCTGGCAGTGCTTGGTAATTACTCCTCGTGGTGCTTGGGGATAACTCTCGGCAGTTCTCAGGAATCACTCCTGGTGGTGCTCAGGGATCACTCCTGGTAGAATTCAGGAATCACTCCTGGTAGTGCTCAGGGATCACTCCTGGTGGTGCTTAAGGATCACTCCTGGCAGTGTTCAAGGATCACTCCTGACAGTGCTCAAGGATCACTCCTGGCAGTGCTCAGGTACCACTCCTGGCGGTGCTCGGGGTACCATATGTGGTGCTGAGGAATTGTCTGGGTCAGGGCTCATACACCTGGCGGTGGGGTCTTCCTGAGAGATTGTGGGACTCCCTGGGCTCATGCATAGTCTGCAGTGTTCCCCAGTGGGTGGTGCTCGTGCACATGCTCTCGGATCCATGTTCTCGAATTGTGCTCTTGCACTCTGGGTGTAGTGCTCCCTGGGGCTTGCTGTGCTCTAACACATTGTTACCTGGGGGGCTTCCGGGGTGGCTCCCCATGCAGTAGTGCTCACACACACCTGGCTGCAGATCCTTTGGTTTAGTATAAAAACATCACCCAGGGCCAGAGAGATAGTAAAGGGTTAAGGCATGGGTCTTGCATGCAGTGGACCCTGATGATCCCCAGTACTACATGTGGTTTCCTGAGCACAGAGCAGGAGTAAGTTCTGAGCACCACTGGGTATCGCCCGAACACCCTTTTCTGTGCCAAAATATCCAACATAAATAGCTTGTGTCTATAGAAACATTCAAAAGCGGGCTGGAGTGATAGCACAGTGGCAAAGACACTTACTTGACTTGCACGTGGTCGACCTAGGGTATTCCATATGGTACCCTGAGCATCACCTGGAGTGATTCCTGAGTGCAGAGCCAGGAGTAACCCATGAACATCCCTGGGCATGTTCCCCTCAAAAGAAACATTCAAAAATTATGTTTCAGGCAGTACAGAGTGATGAGAAATTGTTTTATTTTGGAAACCCTGCCCTAAGTAAGACATCTCCACCTTTCTAATCTTGAAGAGATGTGAGCCCATCCACAGCAGGTCATGTCTAGGGGACCCTCTATCATTCGGGGGCAGCTTTGGGCCATTGGAGCCTGAGCTGAGCGCAAAGCCTTCTGCCCTCACTCTCTTCTCACCAGCAGGCTGCCAGTGAGAAGAAAGCTCTCTGATGAGATAGTTCAGAGATGACTGAACAGAAGTGTCAAGGAAGCTGGAATCCTGCGGAGTGGGGACCAAGGTGACACAGGACAAATTCTCTTGTTGACCAATTCATGCTGAGAGCAACAGTCCTTAGTCTAATCTGAAAGAAACAACAGATTTAACTAAGCAATATTTCATAGATTTGCAATTTTTGGTATATATTTTTTATCTATCTTTTCTTCCACCCATCCACCATCCATCCATCCATTCATCCATTATCCATCCATCCATCAATCCATCATCCATCTAGCTTTCTTCCCTTCATTCCACCCATCCTCCCATTTATCCATCATTCCATTTATCCTTTTGTCCATCCTTTTATCTCTCCATCCTTCCTCCATCCTATATATCAATTCATTCTTCTCCCACCATCCATCCATCCGTCCATCCACCCACCCACCCTCTCATAAAAGTACTGCACATCTCTCCCTGTATTGGTGTGCCAATTACTGCTGCGCAAATGTTCTGCCAGTCAGGGAACCTCCACCCCAGAAGAGAACAAACTCATTCTCCAAGACCCCAAGAGAACTCCTCAGGAAGCTCATTATAAATTCAATTTTGTTTTTCTTAGTTAGCTTAAACAACTAAATACCAATTTTGGATCCTACTTGGAGTGTGTTTTGACATCACATCTCCCTGCAAAAACTGTTCAGTAAAACCAACCTTCTAGGAAGCCAGACCTTGTTTACATGGATGCTCTCCTGCCTCCTGGCTCATCTCAAGGTCTTAGAGATTTGGATTAGGGGCTCCAGGACCTGCTTAGTTCCTACCCTGTACTAGGAACATGGAGGTCAAGGCCTCCTTCGGAGAGCAAGGTGGAAACAACCATCACCAAAAAAAAATGTGGGGGTGTCTCAGAGGCCTGAGGAGATGGCATGAAGGACTGGAGCATTTATTTTGCATCCACAAGACCCTGGATTTGGTCCCATGAGCACTGTTGGGTCTGATCATTGAACTATCTAGTCAGAGTGCCCCCCCCCCCAACCCACTTGAACATTACTTTCAAGGTGATCCCTACACACACACACACACACACACACACACACACAAACACACACGAGCAGCCTGAAGTGGGAGTCCCTGAAGGAGGGTGGGAGGCTGCAGGGAGCATGGGGGAAGGACCTCCCAGCTCCCATCAGCCCTGAGCTCAGACAAAGTGAAACCCTCTGGCTTCTGCCGCTGGTGGATGAGACAAGGTGGTGGCAGGGGGGTTCCCGAGGGTCTTCCAGGAAAAGGGGTGGGTGGAAAGGTTCCAGAAGGTCTCGGGCTCTGCTTTCTGCTCCGCCTGTGAGTTTCGCCAGGAAGCGCTTTTCTGCTTTATCTCCTTCATTGCATCCGGTTTTCTTCATCATTCCTGTGAGCGCTGTGTTCCGCAGCTCGGAGCCGCTACAGCGATCCCGTTTTAACTCAGCTCCCCCCTCCCGCACTCCAGAAGCAGCTCGACAGCTCAGAGGTTATGTAACTAGATTTACTGCAATCCCAGAAAGCAGAACAAAACGGATTATTAGACATGAGAAGTCAAATGTCATGGTCTAGAATGTTCCTCCAGCCCAGAAACCAAAACAATTCTCACAAAATCCCCAGATCCTTGGGATTAAGGTTGAAGATAAAGGCTTACCGATCCCCTGCTCTCTGAACACATTAAATGCCAGATCAATTTGGGGTATGCATACACACACACACACACACACACACACACACACACACACTGAGCACACAGGTTCATCTTAGTTAATAAAATGAGCATTTATTAAATGTTCTTTTTAAATAAATAGCCATTATTGCAGAGCGGTAAAAAAAAAAAAAAGACTGTTTCTGCAACCAAACTCTTCTTGAGTTACACAAGTTAATTTCTCCTACCGCCTGGCTGAGGCTTAAAGAACTGCAGCCAAGTTTAGTTCTCTTACCACTTGGTCTCCCACGGACACCTTGATCTTAAAAATATAAGAATGAAAAAGCAGGATGCAGAGAACAGATGGTTTCCCTCGCGTTGGAACCACTGACAAGTTTGCTCGGAAGAAGCCCAGTAAAAGGCGAGCACACACGCCGCCGTCAAACACCACCCTGCTCTGGTGTCTTCTGAAGGGGCGGCTTCAGCCATTCAGAGTTCAGGGAGGAAACGTGGTTCCAGGGATCTTGCTTCCCACTGAGGGCCAGCATAGCAGGCCATTGGGCTCCCTCCCATGCCAGTCAGAATCCCAGAGTTAAGACCAGCGAGTGAAGCGGATGCTTCTGTGATTCTTGTAGAAAGACTGAATTTGGGTGGAAGAGATGAAGACAAGGAGATGGGCATGGAAGTTTCAGGTGTCCGCCCTGCCGGCTGCCCACTCTTGGCTGGGGCCCGGAGAGGGGCTTCCTAAGGCCGGGCTGGAGGTTTCAGAAAACAGTTAGGCTGCAGAGTGGGGCCAGTGGACAGCCTGTTGGTCCAAACTCCCCATCCCCAGGGCCCGCCTGCCCAGGGCTGACCCCTGGCATCTACCTGTCCCCACTGGTCTCCGCCAGCCTGTTGTTCATAATCGCCAGGGCTCCCACCCCGCCCGAGAACTCGTCCTGGGACAGTGAGCCGGGATAGTGTGGGTAGCCATTGGCCGTGTCCGACAGCTGCTTCTGCAGGATGGCCAGCGAGACCTTGTTGGTGGCCAGGAAGTCCTTCATGGAGATCATCTCCCCGGAGAGTCGCCGCCCATCCGTGTCACTCTCCAGCACCCCGTCCGTGTCAATGGAGATGTTCCCGCGGTTGTGCAAGTGGCCCGGAGTCACGGCGTTCCTGCGGGTGTGCAGGAGCACCCCGGGGCCCAGGCGGCAGCACCTCCGCTCCAGCTTCCGCAGGATCCAGTTCACCAACTGTTTGATGAGGATGGCGATGACGTTGAACAAGGAGTAGATGCAGCAGACGCCCATGAGGATGAAGAGAAAGTTGGCCAGGCGGTAGAGCTCCTGGCTGTCATACTTGGCGTTCTGGCTGCTGACCAGGTCCCCAAAGCCGATGGTGCTGAAGGCCACGAAGCAGAAGTAAAGCGAGTCCAAGTAGGTCCAGCCCTCGAAGGCGGCGTACATGGCCGAGGCACAGCAGGACACGAGGAGCGAAGCCACGCACAGGATGAGCATGACATAGTACACCGAGGGCTTCCAGGCACTCAGGCCGTCTGTGTGGGGCGCACCCGGCTTGGCGGGGCTCTCCTGGGGCAGGGCCCCCTGTCTCCGCAGCTGCCGCTGGTGGCACGACTTCATGACGTAGGCGATGACGGTGATGAGACGCTCCAGGAAGAGGTTGAAGAACAGGATGGTGCTTGCGCAGCCCACCAGGCCATAGAAGATCAGAAAGATTTTCCCTTCCACCGTCGTGGGCGTGGTCATGCCAAACCCTGCAGGGGACGGAAACCAGAGGAGAGACGTGTGAGGGGGCAGTTTGGGGCTTTGATGTCTGGCCAAGGACCTGAAGAAACAGTTTTGTGAAAGGACTCAGTGGAAAGCACTTTTCCCGGAAATTGGTGTGGATGGGGGTCGGGGGAACGGGGAAGAGGGGATTGTGTTCCTTCTATTTTTTTTTTTAGCTTTTTGGGTCACACCTAGCGATGCACAGGGGTTACTCCTGGCTCACGCACTCAGGAATCACTCCTGGCGATGCTCGGGGGGACCATATGGGATGCTGGGAATCGAACCCAGGTCGGCCGCATGCAAGACAAACGCCCTACCCACTGTGCTATTGCTCCAGCCCCTGTGTTTCCTTCTGAAGACACTGTTTTTCAGAGAGGGGTCACTGATGGTCCTTGGGGTGCCACGTGCCACACTGTCCAGGTGATTCAGCACTGCAGTGATGTAGTGATGAGTGGGATGGATTTCTGCAGTGACTTTGTACAGTACATGACCAAGCAATCATAATCAACAGACAAGTTCTCACAGATAGAGGCTCAGACAAAGGCAAGGCTCATCCAGACTGGTTAGGTAAAGGTAAAGGTAAAGGCCCTCCCGTTGTTCATCGATTTGCTTGAGCGGGCCCAGTAACGTCTCCATTGGAGATTTTGTTGTTACTGGGTTTAGCATATCGAATACGTCACGGGGAGCTTGCCAGGCTCTGCCGTATGGGCGAGATACTCTCAGTAGCTTGCCGGGCTCTCTGAGAGGGGCGGAGGAATCGAACTCGGGTCGGCCATGTTGGCTGCGTGCAAGGCAAACACCCTACCCACTGTGCTATCACTCGTCGCGCACATGCCCCAGACTGGTTAGGAGCCATTTATTCTTAAAAGGGGCTACAGTACTATTCTGGACCCCAGGGATAGAGCTGTGGGAATAATGGACAGACGCAGCACCCACCCTCATGGAGAAATACTCTAGCCAGGGGATGGGGGTCACTGTGTTGTGTAAGAAGGGAACCTCCTCTCACACTTGGAAAGACAATGCAGGGACATTTGAAAACTTAAGAGAAATGAGGGGCCAGAGAAATATTCCAGCAGGGATGGTGTTTGCCTTGCATGTTCCGCCAACATGGGTTCGATTCCCGGCATCCCATATGGTTCTCCATGCGTTGTCAGGAGTGATTCCTGAGAGCAGAGCCAGGAGTAATCCTGAGCATGACCACAGAGTGGCCCTGGACAACAACAACAACAAAAGAGTAAGTCAGGCAAAGGGTGTGTGTGTGTGTGTGTGTGTGTGCATGAATGTGTGCACATGTGATCATGCATGTGTGAATTTACATGAGTGCACATATGTGGGTCTGTACCTGTGATTGTGCATGTGTGGTGTACTTGGTGGTATACTGTACAAGGTCACCATGCAACCCACGTGTGCACATGTGACTGTACATATGTGGATGTGTGGGTGTGTGTGAGTGTGCATGGGTGTGAGTGGGTGAGTGAGTGTGGGTGTGTGAGACTGTGTGAGTGTGCATGGGTGTGTAAGTACATGCAGATGTTATGGGCAGAGAAACAGCAGGGCCGGCACAAGCAGAAATGAGAAATGTGTTCAAGATGGTCTCCTCTTTTAAACAAAATTCTTCAAACGTACATCTATTCTTGCAAAATGAAAGCTGATGTGTTGATTGATTTTGGAAAGAATAGAAAAGGTGTGTGTCTTTTGCTTGGCTTCTTACTGTTCCCAATCCTCACCTTCTAGACCTTTCCACCCACGCGCGCAGACGTGCCACTAAGAATACCAACCGTGGGACAATGTACATCACTCAGGGAAAGGAGACACAGAATAGAGCTGCGCTCTCTGTGGGGCTCTCACAATGGGGCCTGGGCGCTGCACCCCTGTAGCTAACGGTCCCGTAGCCACTGGAAGAGGCTTTGTTGGAGCCTGCACAGCTCTGGCTCTGACAGAAACCCACAAAGGAAGCACAGAGGGGCTCCCAGGTTCCAGCATTTCCTTCAGATCAAAGCCTGTGCTGACACTGAGGTTTCTTACCAGGTTCGATTGGCTACGTGGAACCCCAGTCTCACCATTACCTTTCCTGACCCTATCTCAGCTGAAACGAGGCGATGGGAGGGAAATGAAGGAAAAAAAACTCTGAGCTTAGGGATGGAGCTGAGACTATCTTTTCCTTCTTGGTCCCAAGAACCCAGAGGAACCGAGGCATCAAGCAATTATCCCCTGACTGAGGATGCAGTGGCCTCCTCCTCCAGCCCAGTGAACCCTGAAACCTGTGGAGGGTTCTGTACTGAGAAGAGAGAAAATGGAAGTCAGAACATGTACCCCAAAGCTATCAGGCCAGAGAAAACAAGTGCCACCCCTTTCTGGGAGAGTTGAACAGTCATTGATTGGGTTAACTTCAAGGGCCACACAAGATGACCTGGACTGTGAGGTCCTTAAGCAGAGGGAGCTCCGCCTCCCGGCTGGGACAACCCACTACTCCCGAGAGTCAAGATCAAAGTCAGGGGCCACGGGGCCCCAGAGCGAACGAGCATCAGGGTCGTACTATGACTACTTGGGGGAGGAGGGAGTCGGCTCATACGGGGCTTGGTTTGAGCAGATTAAGCAGCAGAATTTTTCCCGTGAATGACACTTCCAGTGGTTCTGTGCCAGAGATTTTAAATGTCCGGACTCTCTTATTTATTCAGTTTTAAAACATTTGGTTTGCACAGGGATTAAGCACAATGGCAAAGACCTAGGTAGATCCCAGCACCACAGAAACCAAACGTAACACGGGTTTGATGGGAGCTAATACTTCCGATGACCTGCTCTGTTCTGTTGCTGTCATGATTTTTTTTGTTTGTTTGGGAGGAACTACACTTGGTGATGCTCAGGGCTGACTCCTTGCTCTGCCCTCAGGCGTCGTTCCCGGTGGTGCTCCAGGGACCATATGTGGTGCTGGGGATTGAATCTGGGTTGGCTGCATGCAAGACAAACCCTTTACCTGCTGTACTATCCTTCTGACCCCCATTTCTTTTTTTGTTGAGGGGGGCACACCTAGTGGTGTCAGGGAAACATGAGATGCCAAGGTTGAAACCCAGGGCACCATCATTCTTGTGCCAGTCCTCTGAATCATCTCTTGAGCCCTCTGATGATGGAGATCTCAGAGAGCAGAACAGCCAGGCACAAACGAACAGCAGAGCTGCTGGGATGCTGGTGTTGTTGTATGTGGCTGCACTGGGGATCGAACTCACCACCTGATGCTTGCATGCCTGGTGTTTTAGGCACTGAGCTATCTCCCAGTCCAGGGCCTGAGCTCCTTCTGCCTGACAAGGCAGAATACAAGTCACAGTCAGGAATGACGTGAGAATATAGGAAGAAGTGAAGGAGATGAACCAAGCTTCTGTCATTTGTTGGTGGACACAAACATTCATACACATGTGATGTCAAAATCAGGGCACTGGCTGGCATGAGAAACTGACTCTCTCCTTCAAATCTCCATGGGCTAAAAAGAAACAACAACAGCATTTGTTTCTGAGTCTATGTGTGTCTCTTGCAACAAATGATGTCATTAAGTTGGTTTTAAAGAATCCGTGAAGCCCCATGCGTTTGGTGTCCCTGCTTTCCACAGGCACATAAAGGAGACTGATTGTACTGTTGGCACTTTCGATACACAATTTATTCCCTGCGCATCAAGGCTGAGCTTTCTGATTTGTGTTCAGACCCCTGGGTCTGGGAGCAGATGAGTGGCTGGGAGGAGATGCAGAGCACGTGAGTCTGAAGGGGGGAGGGGAGGGCAGGGAATCCGGCCCAGCAGTGCAGCTTCCTGGAGCCTCTTCAGGTCAGTCTGAATGTGACTGTAACCCTCCATTCTGAACCGATGGATCGTGGTGTCCCTAGGGTTTGAAAGGAAGTGACTAGGGACACCCGGACGAGGGCAGGAGACCCACAGCCTCCCACTGTGCCACCAGCTACAGACCCATCAAAAATGAATCCTAGGGGAACTGGTGAACTAGCACAGCGGTTTGGGGAGCATTTTGCATGCAGAAGCCTGCCTGGGTTTGAGTCCCGCAAGTACCGGGAGCAGCTTCCTGAGCACTGAAGGGTGTGATTCACCACTCTTCACCCACTCCAAATTTTAATCGGGGCTAGGGACGTAGGTCAGAGCTACTGCACATACCTGGTGTGATACCTGGCACCTCTAAGTATGGACCTGGAGGCATCAATACTTAGAGGTGTGATACCTGGCACCTCTAAGTATGGACTCAAGCTGAGCATCACCCGTGAGTGGTTCCAGATCTCCTTGGAGCACCTTTGGTCTTAGTCCCTAATTAAAACAATTCATCAAGGTGAAACTGTAAAAGCTCTGTATTGTCATTTTGATCGGCATTAATCCCTTAACAGCAACTAATGCCTAGTTGCCTAGTCCAGGCTCAAAACAATTTGTTTTGACTATTTTTGGCCATACTTGATGATGCTCAAGGGTTACTCCTTGTTCTGTACTCAGGGATCACTCCTGGAGGTGCTTGGAGGACCATACACAGTGCCGGAATTGACTGCATACAAGGCCACTGCCTTCACCCCTGAACTATCTCCCCTTCCTATTTTTGGTTCTTGGGCCACAACTCAAGGATTATGGGCTTACTACTCAGGGATTACTACTCCAACCACCGCCAGGAGTGATTCCTCAGTGCAGAGCCAGGAGTCATCCCTGAACATCGCTTGGTGTGACCCAAAAAAGATGCTAATAACCAAGATATTTAAAACATGTGCAGAGCTTAACAACAAAACAAATGACCGCATCAAAAATGAGGGGAGGTGAACAGACACTTCCTTGAAGGAGACAGATGGACGACTAGTGGCATGTGAAAAGTGTTGATCATCACTTAGTAGCAGGGAAGCGTCAATCAACGCAGTGAGCTATCGCCTCACACCAGGGAAAATGGCAGATCCCAAACAGAACTGAAACAGCCAGTAGTGGCACAGACATGGGGACAAGGGAGCCACCATACACCAT